GCCTTACATAGTCGTGCATAGCCCTACATAGCCCTACATAACCCTACATAGCCGTTCATATCCCTACATAGCCGTTCATAGCCGTACATAGCCGTACGTAACCGCACATGGCCGTCCATAGCCTTTCATAGCCGTACATAGCTGTATTTATCCGGGCATAACTTACATAGCCCTGCATAGCTGTGCAAAGCCGTTTATAGCCATGCATAGCCGTGCATGGCCGTAGATAGCCGTACATAGCCCTGCATAGCCGTACATAGCCCTAAATAACCTTCATAGCCCTACATAGCAATATATAGCCGTACATAGCCTTACATAGCCCTACAGAATCCCACAGAGCCCCATATAGCCCTACGTGCGTAGCCCTACATTGGTAGATTCTTCTGGCAATATGTTTGAGCCGCTTTTGAAATGTACGCCGGCGCGCCTTCCTGCGAAAGTTAATCGCCTTCTTTACCATGTGCGGCTGTTTGCTTTACGAAAATACATCATCCTTGCAGTATTTCGTTAAAACTATAACATTTTTCCGCTGTTAAGCGCCTTCCAGCTTATTGCATGAAAAATGTGCACATTTTTCATGCAATAATCTTTAAGATACGCGCGCATCATTTTTATCAACGTGCGTAATTTCGGCACAATTGAGCCTTGCAACTCTTTTAGTCTTTTTTGTTCATCGACTAAAGTAGAAAACCGTAAGGCTTTGTCGAGCGTGGTTTATGAGTATCATGTGTTTCATCATTAGCTCGAGTATGGGTCAATTGCGCGCAACCGCGCGGGAGACTGCTCTTTACGAACGAGGTACGAATTTAATATAGATCAAAATTGTACACGATTTATCTAGGCATTCAAGGCGAGATTGTCATTTCCTGTCTGCATGGCTGAAAGCTTATAAGCCTTTAAATTATGCTGTCTTTAAACCTTTAGCAGGTGTTTAATAACGCAACCTAAAAGTGGGCAATTGTTGCAAACTGCATCACGTGATATTTCCAAATTTGTGATAAATGACAATTATTTACCGAAGTAGAGGTGGCTAGCCACCATTAGCCACCGACACTGAGGTGAATAATTGTTTTGGCGCGCAATGACAGAACGGCCGCGGTCGTCGCTTTTTTTGCCGACAAATAGAACTTTTGAAGGCATTTGTTTAGTTCTTACGGGGAAATTTCTTTAAAAGAAGTTGTAAATTCTTTTTGTATTTAAAATCATGAAAATCACTATTAAATTTAATTTTAAGCTTATTTATGAACAAGTCAAGTAAATAAAGTAACGCAAGACTTAAGCTTAGTTTGCATTTGTAAACAAAAAACTTTTTTATCGGTTTTATCGATAAATACAAGTAAAAAAGACAAAGCTTTACCTGTTAAAACTTCCAAACCGGACTTTGTCACCTTCTTCATGTATTTCGGGAATTTGCTTGATTAGTTGTGAAATTTCTTTGTTTGTTACGGCAGCAAACTGGGAAGGCATTTTGCTCGCAACTTACGCGAGTTTGGCGTCGCTTGCTTGGAGGAACTGGAGGTGAATCAGTGAATAGTACAGGATATTCCCTGTTTGAGTAGCCAATCAGAGCGCGCGAAAAAAACACTATTTACTGTTTTAGTATATACTAAATAAGGATATATTTAACAATTATTTATACCTTATTAATATTCAATAGACTTCGCGCATAGTATATAAGCATGTGTTAATTATTCACAGTTGTCAGTTTGACTAACTTTAGTTGGAGTCGCCTCACCGTTTCGGGTGCGCGTCCGTCCCAACGAGGCCGAATACTCGAGTCATGGTCCAAGAAATGTTTCTTCATCTTCTTCAAAGCTCGGCTCGTGCCACTTATTTGCTCGACTTTAACTTCGTCGACATCGCAACCTGTTTTGCAAGCTTAGCGGCAGCCGAAGATGATAGACATTCGAACTGCGAAAATTCCACCACGTCTGATCAACTAAACTCGACAGAACACCCAGGTATTTTCAGTTTTCGTTGTTGGATTTGCATTGGTCTAAGGAGCCTTATGTTTGGTCTTTTGTTGTTTTAATTCTCATTTAGTTTGTTTGGACCAGTGCTGGCAAACCAGTTTTTTATTTTCGTGCTTTAAGCACGTGCTGGGTAATTTATTCGCTTTTATTCTCGCACGTCTTTCTTTTTTTCTGCAATCTTGCGTTGTGCACTATTTTGTTATTGTAGCTTTGCTTGTTTTCTTGGATATTTGGTAAATCAGTTATTTTATATTTTTGAACACTTGTTCATTTTGGTTGAGGACCGGCTAGTTAAAATCTTAAGCTTTTGTGTCTTTGTGTCGCCAGGTGACGTGGCTTTCCTTTTGAAAAGAGGAACCTAGTTTGAGCGACGAGTTTCGGAGCATTGCCCAGTGTGCCACGTGGTGCCGCGATATTTTCTACCGAGGAATCTTTGCCTATCAGATGGTGGTTATAAGAGAGAAGAGACGAGATAACGTTTTGGTCGAGGGCTAAAAGAGTGGCGTTGCTGTGCAAAGGGGTGGCATTAGGAAAAACATAAAGAACATTGGCCGCGGTCCGAGAGAGCGGTGTCGCTCTGTGCCACGGGTCGCTCCCTTCCCGCTCTTTTACTTGCGCCATTTTTTTCGTGCAGGTTTGACTATCGTTCCTCGTTCTTTGCTCCTAAACCGCACGGAAACGCTTGCTACGCGGGCTATGGTGGACCGAGAGAGCAGTGTTGCTCTGTGCCACGGGGTGGCGTTGAAAAAAAAA